CCATTTGTTTTTATGGATGTGAAATTTCCCCAAACTCAAGATCAACTGACAGAAAAAACACAAATCTTTGTCTTGGTCCTCAAAATAAATAAAAATGTGTTTTTCCTGGAAACTGATCGTTCTTCCTGTTTTCTCTTGCACAAAATGTTGAACATCTTTCCAAAAGGTTCTAGTGTAAGTACATTAATAAAATAAGTGAGAGATGGTTTCATCTTCAAGTCCACAGAAATCACACACATATTCAATGTCCAGTTTAAATCTTTCTAGTGTTTTCTTTGCAGGGTAGATTTGATGTAAAATTTTAAACGAAACTTCTTTCACCTTGTTATTAAGACAGAATTTGTCACCAACCAGCCACGCTTTATGCCAGTTAACCTCTCCAAATTGTGCAGTCCAGTAGCCTAAATTTGACCTCTAGGCAGAATCCTTGCTTGTAAGCAGCTTCTCAAATATGTGTTAGAGCAGGATTTTTTTGTAATGTCTACTTCGCCCACAAAAATATCACAATTATAATTTTCTGCAACAGCAGCATTTCTTTCAGTCCCTTTAAGAAGCTGCAGCACATCCTGTGGGCGGCATACACAAGTGGCTCGCCGAATTCGTCTATAAAATAAGAGACTTGGGACGTACCCAGGGTACACTGGACCATCCTTTTCCGAAAGGAAAGGAGATAATTCCGTCCCACAAGTCCTTGCGGCGGCAATATTTAAAGCGACCAATCTACGCACTATAAACTCAAATGATTAGAAAAGAAAAAGATCAACATGACCGAGAAAGGAAGGAGATCACCATGTAGGCTAAGTTACTGTTGTTTATGAAGCATTATACATCTCATGCCATAACTTGTTCATATGCTATATGCTATGTGTTGAACTTTCAACATGCGAACTATGAACGTTTTGCTACTATTGGTGTAGGGTAGACTCAGTACAGTTGAGACACTTTTTGCTTCTCCATTTTTGAACAGATATTGCACAAAAACTATACACTGAAAATAAGTGATTTTTCATATGCAGTTTAATTTGTTTGTAGCCTATACTAAGTTATTATTGATGAACATCATTTATAAGTTGTTTATTTTTTCCAGAATCAGGTCATAAACATGAGGTCCATTTTTACCATGGTACCTCTCAACTATACCCCAAGTGTACAGTTGAGACACCTATTGAAACCCATTGATGATGACTGAACATCAATTGTAAATGCAATAAACTTTTAAAAAAATGACAATTTGACAAAATATTTCAATATAAATTCATTCCTCTTTATTGAAATTAAAAACAATGGAATATTATTGTAAACATGCAATAATAAAACACCAACAATGCCTAAAATGTCAACACTAAAAATAGGCTAAACAAGAAGTTATGACACGCAACTGAGTGGTCATGTGGGGCTAGGCTCTGGTGCTGGCAGTGGTTTTTATTTTACAAAACTAAACAACAAACAACAAAGAAAAATCATAAACATTGATTCACTCCTCACAGTAATGGCATATGTAGCTTTGGCTGCCAGCGGTGCACTCTACATTTTCTTTGTTTGTGGTCTTATTATGACTTGTAACCTGTTATCTTTACGCTGCACAACTTAACAGCATGTGATGTAATAGAACGCTGTCACGGGTACAGTTGAGACATTGTGTCTCAACTGTACCCCGCTAACCACCTTGTGTATTTCTCTAGATTATGCAGTGACCTAACATGCCAGGATAGCATGAAATATGTGAGTTTTTAGGGCACAGAATAATGTTTGCAATGATGTAAGTTATGTTTGATGGTCACAAAAGGACAATAAGCTAGTCATTGTGGAAGGGACAAGGTAAAGTGAAATTCTACCTTAATAAAAAAGACTTTTGCTGATATCTTCAGACTGGAGATGCTAACACTCTTCAAATTTCCCACCACCAAAGAGGATGCTAATATGCATGTGCTGAGTAAAAATCACAGCTCAGACCTGCAGCGCAGGAAAGATAGCCTATTTAGGGTGTTTCAACTGTACACGTCTCAACTATACTCAGTCTACCCTACCCTCCATCCATAGCTTTGTTTAACTTGTTTTGTAATAGGATAAACAAATATACAATGCATTATTTTAATTTTCCGATTTTCATGTGAATGAGAAAAAAACAGAAATCCACGTGCTTTTTCTGTTTTCGTCTTCAAATGGCTAATTGAAATAGAAATTAAACCAAAACCAGAAACCTACTTGTTTTTCGCCTTTATTGTTATATCTATATTATCTGCCCCTACTGCATCTCAAAACATTGGCATTGGCTATACTTATGGCATAGATAGATAGATAGATAGATAGATAGACAGATAGACAGATAGATAGATAGATAGATAGATAGATGTTCTGCTTCTCTGTGCCCCCCTTGCTCTTGAATTTTATTCCCGTTCAGTGTTTCCCTGTAGAGCTACAGTGGAAGGATCGTAGCAAAAATAGAGAATTGGGAACTATACAAAAGACTGTACGTTAAAAGGTATCTGCTTGAGGTTATTAAATATTTGCAGCGAGCACCCCACCCCACAGCAGAAACAATAAGCGTGTTTCCCCATAAAGAGAGACGCAAGTGGGGAGTGGGCTGGATTGTTTATAGCAGTAACTGATGAATTTTGACACAAACAATAATACCACTCAAGAAAAATGAGGTTCAGTAACCCCAGGCTGATGGGCTACATAATTTAAATGCACAATGCAACCACAATTAATTCTGTAAATTTAGAATGAACGAATCAACTACATATAAAATGTTTACGACAGCAAGCACAAACAAACAGTCACATTCCAAATCATAGTCACCACAGAAAGTGTCTGTGGATTTACAAAATATGGGGCTGAGCAATACATTAATATTATATGGATGTCATGATGTGAGCCCAGATATTGTCTAAGATTTTGGATGTCATAATATTGAAAATGCTGTCCCTTACCATCATCCAAGACGCTTCTTCAGTTCTAAATGATTGATACAAAGTTGCAGGCTATAAATCCTGTGTGGGTGGTAACCTTTGCAGAACTGAAGAAGCTTCTTGGATGAGAGGCGAAACATCTTCAAGAAACGCAAGCAAGTCCAGTTGCCTACGATATAGCACTTACAAGAGTCAGAAATATGAAATTCTTTGTTACAAGTGGTTTTCACAGATTTATTGAAATCCAGACAGTTGTTGGAGAACACTTAAAACAATAAATAAATAAAATGTCTTTATGCATGTTTGGTGGATTTAACTTGATCAAAAATATTAAAACTTATTCACAAAACTATGATTGAGATATATAATGTGAACTACATCAAATAGGGCCAAAGAAAACCTCAAATCATAGTGATGTGTTACTGTCCAACTACAGAAAAAAATCTCACAGAGCATACACAGAAGAAACACATTCAGCAGGGGAAGAAGTCAACTGTCCTTACAACACAATTCAATGACATGAAAGTAACAAATGATCAAACATGGCAGAAATCTTATGAGGCTGGACTGGATCATGCTCTATAGCCTTACAAAGCAATATGTATAGACAACATGCAACAGCAGTATCTAGATTGTTAATTATCATAATAAAATTAAAAATTCCCAAAGGCAAATTGAAAAAGATCTTTCCAAACAAACCTGGCCATTTACAAGATAAGATGGTTTGTTTTGCACAGGTTTTCATACATAAAACTTTCAAACTTGACATCACAGATGCCATCTAAGAGCTTTCTAAATAAGAAACTCACAACTAAAAACATGACTCCTGTTACTGTACAAAGAACAGCTAAATTAATTCTGCATATTCCTCGTGTCTTTCATTCAGAGTGCTAAAAATAAACCAAAGATAGTGTTGATTCGCTGTGGCTGGTCTGAAGGAGAAAATAACCCCCATTAGATCAGTGAAGGTCCTTGTTCACTGGGCAGCAGAACTCAGGTCAATTTACATTCGTTTCAATTCAAAATGCTGATTCCCTTATATTTCGAAAGGCTTGGGACTTGGGCCTTAAATAAAGGACAACTTCGGTATTTTTCAACCTGGGCTCTATTTCCCCATGTGTATGTGTGCGTATGATTCATAGGTACAACTCGTTCTAAAATTGGTTCAGTATTGAGGGAGGCGGATGCAGCCGGCAGCTGCGAAACAAGCTACAACAGTAACGGGGGAAAATGCGTCCTGTATAAGTTTGTGCATTAAAAGTGCTTTTTTTTGCCACTGACCAGTTCAGATCGCTAGTGCTATCTCTGTAAATAGCATACTAAGCGTTTTGAACACTGTCTGTAGCTCTCTCTACTCATGGGACAGCCGTTTTCTTGAGGAAGAGGTGTTTCGGGATTGGATGTCTTCTCTTCTTCGGCTGGCAGTAGTCATCTTGGGAGAAGTGAGCACTGCAGACCCGATGGTCTGCAAGGCGCAGTGTCTGGACAGGAGTGTTAGCGTCCATTTGTAGCACAACTAGCCACAACTTCAGCATCTCACCGTCCAACAAAGGCAGCCTATGAAAGTTGTAAGGGGTGTTGCGCGACATCCTGTTCTTGCAATTCAGATAAGCACAAACACGAACCATTGTTTTCAATCGATGCAGTAAAACTCTCAACTGTACTCTGGGACAACCAGCGCCACTCTGAGTGGCGCTCAGCATGGCTCCTCTGTTTTATTCCGGCAACAAGCAAAGCTCTCGCGAGATGACGTCACAGCCGGGAGGAGGTGAAGGGTCAGGGAAACGCTTAGTATGCTATCTACAGAGATAGCACTGGCGATCTGAACTGGTCAGTGGCCAAAAAAAGCACTTTTAATGTGCAAACTTAAACGGGACGCATTTGCCCCCATTACCGTTTTAGCTCGTTTCGCGGCTGCCAGCTGCATCCACCTCCCTCAATACTGAACCAATTTTAGAACAAGTTGTACCTATGAATCATACGCACACATACACATGGGGAAATAGGGCCCAGGTTGAAAAATACAGAAGTTGTCCTTTAAATAACCTCTTCATAACATGTTACAGTAGTCTTCCTCTGCCTCATGCAATCATTTTGTCCAGGTTACTGCTTTTTAAAATGGCAAGACAACATTTTGTTTTACATCAGACTGAATTGATCATCATCCTGTTTGGAGGTTGCTGATACTTCATCCACTTCATGTGTTGCAGCTTTCATCATAAGAAGGAGGATCCTCTGTAACAGACAGTCACCATCAGAAACATTTGGTTACATCCCACACTCTCCGCATGTGATGTCATCAGTGGGAGCCCCAGATGACCCACCCACCCCCACACACACACACACACACACACACACACACACACACACACACACACACACAGCTCTAAGTCTAAGTTTTTATCTATATGTTTACTATTGTGGTGGTTGATAGGGCTGCTGTTGTACTGGCCTGCATTATGCTGCCAGGTGTTTCTCATGTTTTGTTTACCCCATTTACACACAAGGTAATTAACTCTTCTTTGACACTGTCATCACTGCTTACTGAACATTATAAGCTTCATAGAATTCATATCAGGGCTGTTGTATTGGATTGCACAGATTGGACAGGTGTAATGTATAAAGGTTAGCCTTGCAGCACACATTCAATTCAGACACTGTGTGCCTTAAAGATGACGAAGTGGTTAAATCAGTCCTAATTACAGCTCTGTTCTTCTCTAGGCACAGCCTCATTCATGACCAGAGCCTGGAAGATGCAGAGTAAGCATGTGCCAACTCACCTTGTGGATACGCTGAGGTGCCGTAGTCTGGAGGCAGGATGAGTGGTGTTGGCACTGAGCTAGTACCAATTGCACTGGGGTAAGGTGCTGTGGCCCCTGTGGGCCCACTGAGTGGAGGCTCACCGGGTGCAGGGACGGGCCCATTGTGCTGCTGATGGTTCTGGGAGAAAAAGAGGCCGGGTGCGTAGCTGAAAGCATTGGGTGACACCAGCTGAGAATGGCGCTTGTTGGGGAAGCCATCATTCACCTGAGTCCCACCCTCCGCTCCCTGGTGGTACTCAGCTGGAGGAGCACTGGGGGAGTTATAGGAGGACACCCTGGAGCGAGGAGTTGGACGTGGGGCGGGTTTTGGGGCAGGTCGAGGTGGCAGAGTGGTGGTGGAGGTGGAGGTGTTCGGGGTTGAAGCAGATGCTGGTGTATCTTCAGCTTCAGCAGAGGAAGGAGGGATTACTTTTTTGGAAGGGTGAAGTTTTTTGTCCAGAGAGACGTTCCCGATGTGAATGGGTAATGTCAACATGACATCTGGAGACTTAAGACTGACCTGATTAATTAGAGGAGAAGAGAATGTCACATTTTCTGGAGGAATACAGAATTTATACCCCAATCTAATCTTTTGTTTGATTCTCTTTCAATCTCAATGAGACTGTTGAAGTAGTTACATCGTCAAAGGCTTGTGTGTGTCTGCTACTTGCCACAAAGCACTTCAACTGAATGTCACCAAAAGTTTGCATCTGGTCAAAAAATATCTGTCTGAGGCCCATTTTAACATCACATCTTGCCGCCTCATTACATCCCTGTGTACACTGCAGTGCATGTAAAGCTAGCGTAGTGTCCGCTAGCTACGCTAAATAACACAGTCATGTTTCCACAGCTAGCAACAACAACATGTGATGATGCTTTACTGCATCATTTGGTGCACTGAAAAAAGTTGAGTCCAGCTCAGCTTTTATCTGTAGCGCATCACGCCCATCAGCAGCGACAAGTGCCAGGCATTAGTTTGTAGCTTAATGTCCTTCCACTGAAAATGAATTATAGCCTGTAGCTGTGTCGCTCACAACAAAAGGAAACCACAATTCTCGTCGGATATTTGGCAGCTGGAAAAAGCGATGAGTTGAAAAGTTTCATGACATGAAAGAAGAAGATTGTTCTCTCTCATTCATCAGTGATGAATTCAAAACTTCATTAGCCACTGAGGCCTTAACTAATGATGCTCTCCTCTTAATGAATCTTCAAATACAGGGATGATGTTAAGATGTTTCAGCTGGGACTCTTGTTAAATTACTTTTTGCTCACATGTATGTATGTTAAGTGTTTTGCTGGACATTTGTTCATCCATTCAGTTGGTATTATAAGAAGGGAGGCTGCTGCTCTGATTACATTTGATGTTTTTTATCCTCTTTTGCAGCGTGAAGATGTGATATATCAAACATTTGATGCAAAGCAAAGTGTTTCATGATTTATTATTTTCTTTGTGCAAAATAAATTTCAATGAGTGATAAATTATATAAACTATTTTAAATAAGTAAAGAAGTAAAAGTGCATTTAATCTGACTGGGTAAATTGTGCTGTGGTATCCCTTACATCTACGTAAATGTAATGCATTAAGTTCAGAGTTAATATTAAAGAAATATTACGGGCCTGATATAGGCAGACCGTCATTGTAATTTTTTTTTTTGTTAGTGACTCGGGCACTTACTCAGACAGGAGACCAACTTGTAGAATTTCTAGCACATTTACAGAAGGTGTATAGCTGAAAGGGGCTATATTGACAGATGCCCCATAAAGTTGTCTTTAACAATCAGAGACATGACAAATGTGGCCACTTTACAAAAAACAAAAAACTGCTGAAAGTGTAACAGAGGATGAGGGTATCTTACTTTGACATAATATTCAATCTTTATAAGATCACAGCCAGCGAGAGAGGACTGAGGAAGAGGAGGAACAATTATCTGCTCCTTCCATTCCAACTCTTTGCCGGCCTTCACCACACCACCCTCCACCTCTGCTATCGTCCTCACATCATGGGTGGGCCTCTTCGTCTCATAGGTCACTCTCTGAAAAGACACGTGGACATGGAGATTCACAAACTGGACTCAGTAAACAGTGATTGGGGAATACAAAGGCAGTCAGTATTAAAAAAAAACACTATGCCTTATGCCAATAGACAGGGAACCAGCTGATATCTGAAACCCTGATTCCAAAAACACATGGGATGCTGTGTAAAAAGGAAACAAGAACAAGAATGTAATGATCTGCCATCCCTTTTAACCTCTCTTCAACTGAGTACAGTACAAAGACAAGATATTTAATGTTCAAACTGATAAACTTTATTGATTGTTGTAAATATTCAGTTATTCTGAATGTGATGCTGCAACATGCTCCAAAAAAGTTGGGACATGGATAACAAAAGACTGAGAAAGTTGTGGAATGCTAAGAAAACAACTGGAACAATCCACAGGTAAACAGATAGTTTCATGATTGAGTCTTAAAGGAGCATCATCGAAAGGCTCAGTCATGCACAAGCAAGGTTCACCACTTTGTGAAAAACTGTGTGGGCAAAAAGTCCAACAGTTTAAGAACATTTCTCAACACACAGTCGCAGGAATTAATGGATTTTACCATCTAAAATTCATGTTATTATTATTATTAAAAGATTCCACTCAGGCTGCGCTGCATTAAAAACCAACATGATTGTATAGAGGATATTACAACATGGGCTTAGGAACTAGACTTGCACCGATTAATCAGCAGTGCTCGGAATAGGGCCGGTTTTCACGTGATCGGCTGTGACCTGTGACCGGCCGGTCAGTCTAAAATATGCTGATTTAAAATGCTGGTCAAATTTCCGCTGCGCCTCATGATTGACATCATGCACACACACGCACAAGTGCAACTCACAGCTTGGGCAATGTGAGAAAGTGAAACATGGGCAGCTTCTCACCTTAATCATTCATGCAAGCACATCAAAAGAGGGAAAGAGAAAGTTGTTAATTGTCTGTGTTAAACTTAACTGCAGAGCTCTCACTGCTGCACTGTGCCACTTGAAATTGACGAGGCGCGTGTCCGCGTAGCAAAGATGCACGTGTCCGCGCACTACTGATATTTTTACTTTTTTGTCTATTCAAGAAATTACCCACAAATGCTCTACACCAAGAATTATTATTTTATTTATCTATGTTTTTATTTATGTATGCCTTTTTTACTTATTTATTTTAATACTGTACCTGAAGTTATATTTGAGCAAAAAGGAAAATGTTTCTTAACCTGTGTCACTGTTTTTGTTTGTTTGTTTGAGATGATTATTGAAAAGCTGGTTGTATCTTGATTAAAATGTTCTAGGGAAGATAGAAAATATTGCAATATCTTGTGTGCTGTAAAGTGGTTTGAAAAAAATGAAATCGGAATCGGCCATCGAAAAACCCTGCAAATCGGAAATCGGTATCTGCCCAAAAACTTGTAATCGTTGCAAGTCTATTAGGAACACTTTGAAAAACCACTGTCAGTATACACAGTTCATCACTGCATCTAGTTAAGACTCTACCACTCAAAGTGAAAGCCATATATCAACAACAACAACGTTCCTTTTTGATAAAGCTTATAGTTAGGGCCGGCTCAGGCTTGCCTTGGACCAGCCCCTTGTTAGGCTGACATAGGCCTAGTCTGCCGGAGGACCCCCCTATAATACACCGAGCACCTTCTTTTTCTCTCTCTCCCTCTCTCTCCCTCTCCCTGTCCCTCTCCCACTCATATCATGTTACTGCATCTCACTAACTCGGATCTACTGCATGTCACTAACTCGGCTTCTTCTCCGGAGCCTTTGTGCTCCACTGTCTGGCAGGTTAACTCATATCGCAGCGATGCCTGGATAGTGTGACGTGTGTGGTTGTGCTGCTGCCATGGTCCTGCCTGATGCCTCCTGCTGCTGCTATCATTAGTCATACTTCTGCTATTATTATACACATACGATTATTGTCACATACATATACTATCATATATTAATATATATCAACAACATATTGTACCACAATTACAGTTATTATAATATTATTACTAAAATTAATGTTGTTGTAAGCTACTGTCACTACTGTCTGTCCTGCATCTCTCTCTGTCTCTCTTTATGTATCATTCATGTTGATCTGTCCTGTATGACATCTATTGCACGTCTGTCTGTCCTTGAAGAGGGATCCCTCCTCAGTTGCTCTTCCTGAGGTTTCTACCATTTTTTTCCCCGTTAAAAGGTTTTTTTTAGGGGAGTTTTTCCTTATCCGCTGAGAGGGTCCAAAGGACAGAGGGATGTCGTATGCTGTAAAGCCCTCTGAGGCAAATTGTTATTTATGATATTTGGCTTTATAAATAAAATTGATTGAATTGATTGAACATCCAGAAACATCGCCGACTTCTCTGGACCCGAGCTCATCTGAGATGGAGTGACACAAAGTGCGAAAGTGTACTGTGGTCTGACGAGTCCACATTTCAAATTGTTTTTGGAAATCATGAACGTTGTGTCATCTGGGCTAAAAAGGGAAAACAACCATCTAGACTGTTACCAGCTCAAAGTTCACAGCCAGCGTCTGTGATAGTATGGGGATGTGTTAGTGCCCATGGCATCATGGGTAACTTGCATATCTGGTAGGGAACCATTACAGGGGAATACCACCTAAATGAAAAATTCCAGTATGTTATTTCCATGGCCTAAGAAAATTCAGTCATTATTAGTGAACATGAGCTACTTTCTCTCAAAACCAGAAATCAGAGAAGGTTCAAACTTGTGATGTCACAATGTACAAGGTCTGGAGCTGCTCCACAGACAATGACTGGGAGACTGATTTTGTGGAGCCACAGAATGTTTGTTTTCTTTTTTATACCCAAGTGAGCTTTATTTTATTGTAGTGTTCAGAAACAGAAAATGTACCCATATACTAAAACATTCCCCTGGGTGTTCTCAGCATAATAGAACATCTTTCACCATTTACTGTCCATGGAGCAGCTCTAGACGTCATACTTGATGACACTGCAAATTTGACTCTAGCTTTTAGATTTGGGAGAGAATTGGTTATGTTTAGTAATATTTTTAGACTGTCTTAGACCACAGTAATAACATGTATGAATTTTGAAAATAGGCACAGTTCCCCTTTAATTTTGAACAGCACATACAATTTTTGGAAAAACAGATGTCTTTTCAGGGACGTCCTTGCTTATTCCAGCAAGACAATGCCAAGCCACATTCTGCATGTGTTACAACAGCTAGGCTTCATGGTAAAAGAGTGCACATACTAGACTGACCTGCCTGCAGTCCAAACCTGTCTCTCAATAATGTGTGGCACATTACACTCATATATTAGATATGATCAATATATCCTTATTAACAGGCTATGTACCACAGTCTTTTAAGGTAGCTGTAATTAAACCTCTACTAAAAAAGCCCACCCTGGTTCCAGAGGTGTTAGCCAACTATAGACCAATATCTAATCTTCCCTTTATGTCAAAGATCCTTGAGAAAGTAGTCGCAGACCAGCTGTGTGATTTTCT